CCTCTGGGACATACCAATTCAAACTGACACGGAAATAAAAGTCAACAGCCCTTTTATTATCATAAAAAATAAGAAATTCAGGAAGTGTAAGCTTATTGCCAGAGCAATACCATCTGAAATAAACAACTCCATAAAAATTATCGAGAAATTGTCCAAATACAAGGACATGAAGATCAAGATTAACGGGATGTGGGGAGTGAAGACTGAGACTGTACCAATAGTAATCGGAGCACTGTGCCTCGTGAGAAAAGGAATGGACAATTTTAGTGTGTCAGGTAACATCAACATACAAGTTGCCCAGAAGATCATCTTACTAGGGACATCCCATATAATAAGAAATGTGCTATCAATTAAATGACAATTCTCCTATTGGGCGAGGATTCCTGTATATTCGTACAATATACAAAGCAGGAAACACAACAGATAATAATAATAATAATAATAATAATAATAATAATAATAACTGGAACATGATGAAGCCTATAAGTACCTAGGAAATAGCGAAGGAGATGGCATACAACACCCCAAATAAAGAAGGTAAGAAAGTACTACAGGCGTGGTGCTAAATACCAAGCTACCCACACACCCCCGCCAAAAAAAAAAAAAAAAAAAAAAGAATATCAGCTTTCCCTGTGGTACAATACAGCTTTAATGTCCTTAACTGGACCATAGCTGAAATTAAGCGAATGGACGCTAAAACGAGAAAGCTTCTCACTTGCTACCGCATGCATCATCCCAAAGCTGATGTTGATCGTCTGCATGTGCCTAGATCCGAAGGAGGCAGAGGATTAGTTCAACTAGAACTGTCCTACAAAACTACAGCAATTTACCTCCAAAGATACTTGGAAACTACAGAAGACAGGATGATGGTATGTGTGAAAGAATATGAAAGTAGTGGGCGCAGAAATACACGTAAAGCACAATACACCGGCTGAACCTGTAAAATACTTAAGAAAGAGAGCAAAGACAAATGCAACCGACCAACTACATAAAAATAGGCAAGATAAACTGCTTCATGGCCAATACTCTGCCCGTACCAAACAAGCTGACGTAAACAAAACCCGTACCCATCAGTGGTTACGTAGTGCAGGGTTGAAAGCTGAAACTGAAGGTTTTATCCTTGCTGCACAGGACTAATGCTTAACTAGAAATTATCAAGCACATATACTAAAATATTGTGTTAGCCCAAAATGCAAATTCTGTGATAAATATCCAGAAACAATTGATCATCTTGTATCAGGTTGAGTATAAAACCCAGCATGACAGAGTGGGCCAATATCTGCACTGGAAAATTTGCAACTTCTACGGGAAGGAAACTGATATGAACAACACCCAGACCCGGTTACGGAGATAGGACCTGTTACAATTCTATGGGACTACACAATACACACTGACAGAGCAATCAAAGCTAACCGCTCAGACATTTTTATTAGAGACCACAAACAAAAAAGTACCTCCTTATTGATATGGCAGTCTCTGCAGACTGCAATGTATCTTTGAAGATATTCAAAAAGCTGTCAAAATACAAGGACCTTGAAATCGAAATATCAAAAAGGTGGCACATGGGAACATCATTGTAGTTGGAGCCCTAGGATTGGTTGGAAAAGATTCCAGTTGACTAATTGAAGGGATTCCTGGAAGTCCATGCCTCAAAGAGATACAAAAATTATTCTCACAAGTATGGCCCACACTTTATGAAGGGCTTTATCTATGCCATTTCTAACCTTAGGTCTCTTGGCGGGACCCGAAAAGAAATGTGTACACCCCAGAATAATAATAATCTTTCATGGAGACTCTCTGTCGTCTGTCCTGTTCTGTCTGTCCTTAATCCGCCTTTCGCATGAACTAAACAGTAATAACTATGGATACAAAGAAAAAGAAGAAAGTGTATTCACCTATTCTGAATGGGTGATAACAAACTCTTTGTCAAAGACGACAAAGAGTTGAAGAGTTTCCTCAAAACTGTAAAAAAAAGGAATGAATTTCGGATTAGATAAATGTGCAAAAGTTACATTTAAGAAAGGTAGAGTTACAGAAAAACACTCAATATATCTAGATTTTGCTACAAAGATTAGGGAATTGGAACAGGAAGAAGCCTATAAACACCTAAGAATCAGCGAAGGAGATGGAATACAGCAGACCCTGAATGAAAGAGAAAGTAAGAAAAGAATATTACAGATGTGTGCGTCTGGTGTTAAATACTGAGCTGAATTCACAAAACAGAATATCAGACATACACATTTTGTCTCTCCATGTGCTGCAATATGGTTTCAACATCTTTAATTGGACCATGGGTGACATTACGTGAATGGTGGTCAAAACGACAAAGCATCTCACTTTCCACCGCATGCATCGCCCTAAGGCTGATGTTGATCATTTGTATGTGCCCAGATCCGAAGGAGGTAGAGGATTAATTCAACTAGAACTGTTTTACAAAACCACAACACTCGGTCTTCAAAGATACCTGGAAATTACAAGAGGCTGTATGATAATCTGTTTCAAAGAACATGAAAGAAGCTTTATTCAGTAATAAAGGAAGGCAACAAATTCAAAAGGAAATTTCAAGTAGGTGAAGAAGTTCAAATAAACCATAATTCACCGACTGCAGCGTCAAAGAACCTAAAAGATAAAGCAACAACAAATGCAATGTACCAAATGTAGAAACGATGGCAAGAGTAGCCTCTTCATGGTCAATACTCTCTCCGTACCAAACAAGCTGATGGAGACAAATCCCGTATCCATTAGAGGTTACGTAGTGCAGGTTTAAAAACTGAAACCGAACCAATGCTTGCTAACTAAAAATTACCAAGCACACGTACTGAAAGATTGTGTTGACTCCAAATGCAGATTTTGTGATATGGGAAGAAACTGGTATGAGGACCATCCAGATACGGTTACACAGATAGGACCTGTAACAATTTTATGACACTTTACAATACACACTGACAGAACAATCAAAGCTAATCGTCCAGACATCGTGATCAAAGGCCACAAAAACAGAATGTGCTTTCTTATTGACATGGCAGTCTCTGCAGATTGTAATGTATCTTTGAAGATCTTCAAAAAACTATCAAAATACAAGGAGCTTGAAGTGGAAATCTTAAGAAAAAAAAACACGGTGTTTTATAATATTAAATAATATTTCGACAGTATATCTGTCTTCTTCAGGTTAATTTTTTCAAGTATAAAAGTATATAAATCTACAAAAAAAATAAGTGTTTTTACAAACGTTGTTTGTCCTGTAATAAAAAAAAAACGACTGTACTGGTAATGAACGTATCAAAACGAATGAAACGCCGCCAGCGTGAAGGCATGAAACTGAAATGTGATTAATATGATGGTGCCATGGTTATCTTGGAATTTTCCATTAGCTGGTTAGTTAGTAAGAAGAATGAATCAAACAGCTTAGTACAAATCCTATGGAAATCTCCTGCCATTCTGTTCATTCCGCTGGGACAGGAAGTTAGTAATTTGCATACGTAAATATCGTCATATTCGATAGGGTCGGTAGATTTTGAATAGTTTTTTTAGAATGTGCACTTTAAGATGTTTGTCGAAATTACAGTCGTTTGTAATAAAATGTTCTGTAAGCTCCGTTGTTGGCAAATTGTTGTGTCTGACACATTTATACTAAGTTGTTTGATTACTTCCTCTTTGTAACTAATCAACTAACGAAAAATTCCAAAATGGGCGAATCATCATTATATTAAGTACGTTTCTTTTCTAGGCAAGCAATGTTTGTATAAAGACTTATAATCTTTTGTAGATGTCTACATGTTTTTACTTGAAACACCTTTTTAAATATAATTTGAACAAGACAGACATAATGTCGAAATATTGTTTAACATTGTCAAACATTGTTTTTTTTCTTTTCTTTTCTTAAATCGCTCTCTCCTCTGATCTTCTCTTCTATGTGGATGAAGCTGATCAGGTACACAACTACACAGCAATCCTACGACCACACCCTGTCATAAAACTGATGATGATATTCCTCGTGTGCTCAATTAGTTTTCCTACTGGTATTAATTGGCCTACCCCACCAACGGTGGCTGGATGTGTCCCAAGGTTGATTTAAATAAGGGGAGATTAAGAGCGTGCACCTGGACTAAGGTTAAAAAAAAAAAAAATTGCCCAGACCCCACAACAAAACATCGCATTTGCATCGATACTCCACCGACACAACGAGAGAGCTGCTGTCGCGAGTTGGAATCCCGAGAACTAGACACCCCTCATGTATATACCGTAATTCCCCATGTATAATACGCATTTTTTTCTAAAAAAATAATAAGCAAAATTAGAGTTGCGTATTATGCACAGCAACAAAAAATCTTTTAAAAATTGCCGTTTCATAGGCCGATTTCATTTGCTAACTGACTACTCATCACAAACACAGCACAAATTGACAGTAACATTCTGCGATTGTGACCCCATAAAGATGTCAAATACAATCATATGTACATAACAATATTTACAAATGTAAAACAAAATTAGAATTATCATAAAACTAAATTAGAATATTATTTTTCTATGTTTAAAACCATTTTGTTAAATAAGAGTAGAAAACGCTGTCCGTAATAAAATTGGAGGTGTATAATCTATAGAATTTGATTACCAATCTAGCGGTGCGTATTATGCGTGAGTAGAAGCATTTTACAATATTTTCAGCACAATTTTAGGATGAAGGCGTTTTATACCTGGGGGATTACGGTATTTACGATCCGTCCGGAGACAAAGACACAATTTAAGATATTATAATTCTGGCCACCAACTCAAAAAGGGAGTTTTGCTACGACTACTATGAGAATAATCGTTTTAAAAAAATGATATGAATATTTACTCTGATGAAACAGCCAAAAGTTTTATTTCCTCATTAATGTAATTGCTAATGGCAGCCTTTCGAGAAGGCGGTCTTCAGACAGCCGGGCTGAGGATTTGTAATAATCTGCAAGCTCTTTCCTTTTAGCTTGTATTTATTTAACCGTCGATGCCTATCCATTTTAATGAGTCTGTCGGCAACTAACAAGTATCTGGCATTCCTTCTCTCATTTGAATTGGTCATCTCGCCGAATCTCAGGTGTTCGGTAAAACGATGTCGTCTGCATCTTTGCTTATTAGTTCTTTTGCGACTGAACATTTCTTTCCTTTCTTTTTACACCTTGTCTGGCTCTCGTCTGCATTTGCCTTTCTTCCACCATATCGCCGTCTTTCGATTCAAAGTATATCATTCTGCCATTTTTAGATTTGCTGCCATACAAACCTCTTACTATGATTTATTTGTCCTTATTTTTCTTTTTAAATTTCTTGATTTTCATTCACTAAAAATTATTCATAACTTCATTTCTTCAGTTCATTCAATTCAATCTATATTTTCTTTTGCTACTCCTTTCTGTCTCTTTTTACTTTTTTCTTTCTTCCTTTTTCCATTGTTTTCGGAGATTTTATTTTTGTTTGTTCGTTTCTTTCTTTCTTTCTTTCTTTTTTCTTTCTTTCTTTCTTTCTTTCTTTCTTTCTTTCTTAGCTCTTTGTTTATTAGGTTCTTTCTTTCTTTTTTCTTTTTTCTTTCTTTCTTTCTTAGCTTCTTTATTAGGTTCTTTCTTTCTTTCTTTCTTAGCTTCTTTCTTTCTTAGCTTCTGTATTAGGTTCTTTCTTTCTTTCTTAGCTTCTTTCTTTCTTTCTTAGCTTCTTTCTTTCTTTATTTCTTTCTTAGCTTCTTTATTAGGTTCTTTCTTTCTTTCTTTCTTTCTTTCTTTCTTTCTTTCTTTCTTTCTTTCTTAGCTTCTTTCTTTCTTATCTTCTTTATTAGCTTCTTTCTTTCTTAGCTTCTTTCTTTCTTAGCTTCTTTATTAGCCTCTTTCTTTCTTAGCTTCTTTCTTTCTTTCTTTCTTTCTTTCTTAGCTTCTTTCTTTCTTAGCTTCTTTATTGGGTTCTTTCTTTCTTTCTTTCTTTCTTTTTTAGCTTCTTTCTTTCTTTCTTTCTTTCTTTCTTTCTTTCTTTCTTAGCTTCTTTCTTTCTTTCTTAGCTGCTTTGTCTTCCATACCACAAGAGTTCCCGGTGAAATCAGTTAACGCGATTCTTGGGTGGCTCAAGAAGCTGGTAGGGAAATCTGGTGCCCCGATCGAATTTTAAATAAAAACTCATGCTAACCGCTTTCCTCACATATCCATTTCTTATACAAATAATAGTTAATAAATAAATTATAAGTATTTTAAAATAGGGAGTTACTTTTCAATCATCCTGGACATTCGGCAAAAAGACCTCTGAACAGGAGACTGGAGGTTTTGAGAAGAGTGGGACCACGTCTTAACTTCTTTTGTTTCATATGAAAGTCTCGTTTTGACGAGGCTAATTGTGAACATCACTCGAATTAAAGTTTTGGTTTTGTAGCAATGTACCTGGGTTGACAAAATTACTCCGAGCGCAGCCTATTCTATGTTCAATTGCCTTTTCCCCGATGCTAAATTTGTTATATCTAATCCATATGCCAGGGCATTTGTATTATTTATTAATTCCGTATTTTGAATTTTAATGATGGATACTGTATTTGCTGTCACTGCTTACATTTCAATCACAGTTTCTTTATCGGAAACGTTTATTTTGTGCCCTATTTCTGGAACTACTTTGCAAATATAATCTTTTAGATTTAAATCTATGACTGATATAAAATACCAGAACTAAATATGTGAAATTGAATACGTAAAAATCGGTTGGATGTTTAATATTTTCAACTTGTATGTAAATTACTCTCGAGTAGTTTGCAATACGTTTATTTATCATCTCTCACTTGCGTCTCTGTCTTTGGGTAGCCGCTGTGCGCTCACAACTGAGGAAAATTATACTGGGAGGTGCCCGGCCCTTGGGAACAGTTCCTCGAGGCAGCCCCCTCTTATTGCATCAGAGAGAGGGATCGCAGTTCGCACCGAAGCCAGCGCAACCGACAGCTGGGGTGGGGGCAATTTTTGTTTCTCCCCGGATTTACGCGTTCAGGCTCCCCACATTAAACCGACTTTGTGTCACAACTCGACATCACGGAGAAGGAGGGGGTTGAGTAAATACAAAAAATATTTTAAAGTTGTTTTCTAGTTTTAAATATATATATATATATATATATATATATATATATATATATATATATATATATATATATATATACATCTATATATATATATATGTATATATATATATATATATATATATATATATATATATATATATATATATATATATATATATATATAAATAAATATAGTTAAGGTGTGCTATATTTATGGGATAAAGTGCTCAATATCAGAGATAGAGCGTGTGTAAATATAAAAGTGAACCTAGAAGTCAACACTTAGAGGCGACAGTCTGTTTTTATGCTATATGCAATCGTCAAGCCTGACGATTTGCATATATGTCGAACTTCTATGTTCATATTTATATATATATATATATATATATATATATATATATATATATATAGATAGATAGATAGGGAGCGTTGGATAAATTATCGTCTTAATTACACAAAAATGAAAATTACACCCACATCTCATTTTAAAAGATATATTTAGCAAAATTACACAAAAAATATCTTGAAAAACTAAAGAGTATTCGATAAAATCGCCATTGGCTTCAACCACGGCCTCCAGACGACTTTGGAATCTCCTGCAATTGAATTGCACGATCTCCTTGTTTAATTGGTGAATGCTATCATAATCCTTGCCTTCAGTTCATCTTTGGTGTTACAAGGAGTTTTGTTGGTCTCCCACATATCACAATCAAGGTGGTTGCAGTCTGGGGAGTTAGGGGACAGGAGTAAGGGGCGATATGTCTGGGAGACATGACTGGGTTCTCCTGCTTGTGTGGCATGGAGCAGAGTCCTGTTGGCAAACACAGGGTCTTTCAGCAGCCACCCTCTTGACTCAGGGCAGCACTACCTTCTTAAGGTAATTAATGTAACTCTCAGGGTTAAGCCTGAGGCCCTATGGGAAAATAAGGCATAACGTTGCCATCAGTAAGTGATCAATCTAAACTCCATGATGTTGCCTGGATATATCATACAAATCTTTCTGAATCCTCTACACTGTCCTCAGTTTGACGTCTAAACACTCTGAAATGTTCGTATTGGAGCAGTATTGCATGCCACAATTTTTGGCGGAGGGAATTGCATCATGGCGCTCTTTTTCTCAAAGACTGTAGCCAACTGACCCTACTATACTGCACAATACTGAGAAAAAAAAAGGCATGGTCGAAATTACAAATATAAATTGGCGACAATTTACCCATCGCACCCTGTGTGTGCGTGTATATATGTATGTGTGTGTGCGTATGTGTGTGTATGTGTCTTCATTCAAGGATGAATAATCTGGGTATATTATTTCGATTTATTTTCATTCTCATTTTCTCTTTAAAAGAAAGAAAAGAAAGAAAGAAAGAAAGAAAGAAAAGGAAAAGAATAGAAAAGAAAAAAGAAAGAAGAGAAATAAATGGAGAAAAGAAAATGAAGCAAAGAAAAGAAAGATAAGAAAAAGAAAGGAAAAAGACAGAAAAGTAAAGGAAAAAGAAAAGAAAGGAAAGAAAAGAAACAAAAAGAAAAGGAAAAAGAAAAGGAAAGAAAGAAAAGAAAAAGGAAGACGACAACTTGAAAAAGATAAAATGGAGTAATATAACATTTTGCAGTATAGGCAAATCAAGTCCATTGTAGGAAGGACTAAATAACAGACACCAGAAAAGAAAAATTTAAATATCAGAGAATTTAAAAGCATGCTACAAGAAATTTAAGATGATAATATTTATCTACTTCTTCAAGCCACCGTTTGCGAATCCATAAAAGAGTAAGTGAACTTGGTTGCGCTCAACTTTAAAGAAATGTCTTTGTGAAAGGCATGAATACATTTTTCCCGCCCTCTAGCTATTTGTTAAATAGTAGGCAAGTCACCATTCACGAGTTTTGAATGGTGAAGAGACCGGAAGAAGGTATGATCTGGATTCAAAAGCGCGAAAAAGATAACGAAAAACAATTCTTTTATTTTCCCCAAAAAGAGATAACAATTTACAGGATATAATGAAAAAAGAATCCGTGTAGAAAACAAAGCATAGCCACTCCACTATCTTTCCCAAGAAGTCATGGCAATTCACAGATAATAAAGAAACGATATCTGTGGAGATGACAAAGGGAAACCCCTCCACTCTCTTTCCCAAGAAGTCATGGCAATTCACAGATAATAAAGAAAAGGAATCTGTTGTTAAATCAACGGGAATCTACTCCACTATCTTTCCCAAGATGTCATGGCAATTCATAGATGATAAAGAAATGGATTCTGTGGGAAATGCAATGACAAATCGACCCTATATGTTTCCAAAGTAGTAATAGCAATTCACAGAAATTAAAGAAAAGATCTCGTGCAGAAACATGGTGCCCTATATGGCTCGAGGAAATGGCAAAACAAAGATTCGTTTAGCCTTAAGTAGATAAAACACTAAGACTTCGCCGTCCATCAACCTCAGGACTTGTTGACCTGCACCTCAGAATAAATACATTAGATAATCATTTTTTTTTACTCTGAGCTAATTCTTGGTTGGAGGCATTTTGAGCTTTATTGCTGAGGATATTTTGGCACAAATCCTATAAGAAATGAAAGAGCTTAACCATTTCACAATCTTTTCACATTCTCTTTCTCCTTTCTGTTTCTATTCTTTTTGCTATTGCCAGAAAACTGCTTATTGTTGTTGTGTTTGATGCTCGGAGGAAAAACGCCTAATCATTCGGTGTCCGTAAGTAAAAATCTTGTCATGGATGCTCTTATCTGATGATTGCATTTACTGATATTATTTTATGTTTTTGGAAAAAGAGAGAAGGGCACACACGCACGCATGCGCGTACACATACACAAACAGGCACACACATATATTTTAGTTTCATCTTCCTTACTGTCCTTTTTTCAGTATTGTTCTGCCTATCTTCCTTATATTTATTTCTTTGTTCTTTCTTTCTTTCTTTCTTTCTTTCTTTCTTATCATCAACATTCTTCTGCCTATTTCCACCTTGTCTTTCTTTCGTCATTCTTATTTCTTTCTTTCTTTCTTTCTTTCTTTCTTTCTTTCTTTCTTTCTTCTCAGTCAATATTCTTCTGCCTATCTTCACGTCGACTTTCTTTGTTTTTTCTTATCATTTAGTTTCTTCTCCCTTTCTTTCTTCACTAAGTCATTATTCTTATGCCTTTCTTTAACTCTTTCTTTCTTTCTTTCTTTCTTTCTTCACTTCGTCAATATTCTTATGCCTTTCTTTAACTATTTTATTCTTTCTTTCTTTCATTCTTTCTTTCTTTTTCAGTTAATATTCTTCTGCTTATCTTCAGCTCGACTTTCTTTGTTCTTTCTTATCATTTACTTTCTTCAGCCTCTCTTAGTTTTTTCTTTTCTTCTTTTTTGTTTCTTTCTTATCAGTCAATATTTTTTGCCTATCTTCACCTCGACTTTCTTTGTTCTTTCTTTGTTATCAGTTATTATTTTACTGCCTCTATTTTTCTTTCTTTCTTTCTTTCTTTTCAGTTAATATTCTTCTGCCTCTCTATCTTTTCTTCCAGTCTTCTTATTTTTTTTCATTTCCCACAAAGCAAGGCAATAATACAAATGATACAAAGGGTTATTGGAACATATAAGAACAATATTCAAGGAGACAGAAGATGACAATTGACATTGTATTTTAAGTTTTGCAATTTCGTAGATGACAAGATATGGAAGCCACGGGAGAGTTCTCAAAGCGGGAAGTGCGAAAGAAAATCAATTAATATAGAACTTATGGTTAGAACAAGCATTTCCAACATTGGAATGATGCGACTCGGCTGCCAATCTAGTACTCCGCTTGAAAAAATAAACACGGAGCAATTGCAAATCATCAAGCACTGCCAAAAAATCATTATTATTTGGCATCGAAGACGCGTGAATATAGAAAGAAACAACCGTTGATATTACAATGGGAAGCTTTGATGGTGCCTTTTCTAGAAGCGTATAGGTA